AGTAAAGGGAGAGGAAGTTCTGAGGAGGATAGGAAGAAGCAGTGAACAGATAGAGCATTTAAAAACAATTAAACAGATAAGCGCCCAAAGCGGCCGCTATAGCGACTCAAGCGCTTGCTATTGAAAAACAGAAGCGGTCCTTCGGAAAAAAAAAAAAAAAATTAAACAAAGCATACAAAGCGGCCGCCATCCGCAATGACAGCGGCCGCTATAGCCACCTAAGCGCCTGCTATTAAAAAACAGAAGATGTCTTTTAAAACAATTAACCAGATAGCATATAAAGCGGTCGCCATCCGCTATCGATAGCGAGCGTAGGTAACAGGAGAACCACGAAGGACGCTGCTATCTTTGGAAACAGAAATTGAGAATCAAGAAAGGGAGAGGAAGTTCTGAGGAGGAGGATAGGAAGAAGTAGTAAACAGATAGAGCATTTAAAAACAATTAAACAGATAAGCGCCCAAAGCAGCCGCCATAGCGACCCAAGCGCTTGCTATTGAAAACAGAAGAAGTCTTTTAAAAAAGACAATTAAACAGAGCATACAAAGCGGCCGCCATCCGCAATGATAACGGCCGCTATAGCGACCTAAGCGCCTGCTATTAAAAAACAGAAGATGTCTTTTAAAAAATTAAACAGACAGCATATAACGCGGTCGCCATCCGCTATCAGAGCGGCTGCTATAGCGACCCAAGCGAGTAGCCTGAGCGCATCTAAAAAGGTACCAAGAGAAACAAGAAGTGCGATGCTACTTTTAAAAACAGATTGAGATTCAAGAAAGGGAAGAGTAAGTTCTGAGGAGACAAGGAAGAAGTAGAATTAAACAGATAGCATATGAAGCAACCTTCACCGCTATTGATAGCGGCCGAAATAGCAACCTAAGCGCCTGCTATTGAAAAACTTGTCATAGCGCCAGAGCTTCAAAGCGCTATGCTATGGCTGCTATATCACTGTAGTGGGTGCTATTGACTACATTAATAAGGAAACCAAATCTGTATTATAGCATATTTATATTCTGTTAAAGCTCACATTCATTCTCTGTATAAAATCCAAGATTGTGATTCACTTGCCTTATGTGGTAGGGCTCCAACTGTATATATACTCTTGATATATTCTTGAATAAACAAGTTCTTCTGATACTTTGAGCCAACATACATTAGTTGATCCAGTGCTAAGATCCTTTCACTAGATTTAGGATGATCCATTATAGTTTCATGGAGATTTGATTTGTTGGCAAAATGGTGCAGTAAGAAGCTGCATTTATGGGACAATCTGTGCAGCAATAAAGCTGCTTCAATGGAGGAAAGAAAAATGCAGCAAACTGCTGCATTATGTAAGGAAATGAAATGCAAATGCAAATGGAGGCATCAAATTAGTCAACAAAAGTGCAGCAATGTGAGTGTTTCAATGTACATTTTTATGTTAGTTTATGTATTACAATCCTTGATTTAAAAGTTAGGATAGATTTTTGGGGTAGGATAGATTTTGTGGGAAACATGTAACCGTAAATCATGGAAAGTAGGTCAAAAATACTGTTTTGTGTTATATTTTCTGCTATAAATGGGCAGACGTCAATGGAAATATGAGAGAGTTGGACAACAATTTCTCCTATCCTTCCGTTCGGGTAAATGTCTGCACTCTTCCAAGTTTATGTTCTATATCATGTTCTAAGTTCTACTCTTCTCCTACTCTCCTCCACGTCCTCTCTCAACCCCTTCTTCTTCACTCAAAAATCTAACAGGATTTTCAATCAAGTGAGGTGCATGAAATCAGTAACTGAGAGAAGAAAGGTTCAAAAGAAACAGGGGAGGTTACAGGATGGAACGCAACAATCTCTTCAGGGCCCTCAGTGTTGCTCTGGGATGGATTTTCAAAAGATGGCTTTTCACCGTTCTATGTATACGTGAACACAGTTGCTGTGTCGCCCAATGGGTCATTGTGTCCCAG